AACACAGAGCCACAGCGCCCAGTCACCTTGCAGGGAACGGTGTGAGGCTTGCCAATCTTGTGCCCCCAGTAGCCACGCCACACAGGGACAATGGAGAGCTTGGCTAGGATGATGGCCCCACGGATAGCAGTAGCCACCTCCTTGGAGCACTTGACGCCCAAGCCAACATGGCCGTTATAGTCTCCGATGGCAACAAAGGCCTTGAACCTGGTCGGCTGGCCAGCACGTGTCTGCTTCTGCACTGGCATGATTTTCAACACCTCATCCTTGAGGGACATGCCCAGGAAGAAGTCGATGATCTCAGATTCCTTGATGGGCAGGGAGAAGAGATAAATCTCCTCCAATGATTTAATCTTCATATCTTTCACCAGGCGGCCCAGTTTGGTGACGGGGAGCCACTCCTTGTCCTCGGCTTTGCCTCCTCGAGCTCCGCGGCCCCTCCCACGGCCCCGTCCACGGCCGCGGCCCCGACCCCGCAGACCGCTACCGAAGCCTCCGCGGAAACCGCCGCGGGCTCCCATCCCAGGGCCTCCAGGCCCTCCCGCTGCACCGGCGTCGTCAGCCATTTGGTGTTTTCTCAGAAAAGAAAAAAAGGGTAACTCCCTTTTTAAAAGATTTTCAGTCTTAGAAAGCCCTACAGAGTGATCCTATAGAACTGCTATAAACCAGATAAAACTTGTAGGCACACAATAATTGAGGCCACAAAAACATACATTCCCAAAGGGGCTAACAATTTAGGTTGGGGTATTGCCTTTACTCACTTGCCCTTTCAATTTTAAGCATCTGTATCTACAGAATATTCATGCATGATTAAAAACTAGAATCAAACTAATTTCCCTCAAGTCATCTCCAGCTCCTAGCAACCCCTGGATGCTAAGGTAGAACTATGATCTCAAAGGTTCCATGGCAGATTTATCAGAAGTGTGTCACTTGGCTTTTCTTCTGAAGCACCTCTGAGTGGATCTGAACCTTCAACCTTCCATTAATAGCCTAGTATATTAAACATTTGCACCACCCAATGATTCCTCACATGTGATCAATGTTGTTATGTACCATTGAGTTGACCCTGACCCATAAAGACACTATGACCAACAGATCTGAACTTTGCCCTATCCTGAACCATCTTCATGATTTCCACCATGTTCAAGCCCATTGACTTAAGCACTATACTAATATATCTCATTGAGGGACTTCTTCTGTTTCTCTGACCTTCCAGGATCCTAAGGATAATGTCTTCTTTGGTGACATGGGTCCTCCTCAAAACATGCCCAAAGTAGGTGAGATAAACTTTCTCCATCCTTGCCTCTAAGGAGCACCCTCATTGAACTTCTTTGCAGTATATTTGTTTGTTCTTTTGGTAGACAATGGGATAGCGAATACTCTTCAATAACACCAGATGTCAAAGGTATTAATTTTGTCTTCCTTACTAGGTTGTACACAAGCAGTAACAAGTGTTTTGTGGTTTTTTTTGTTTGTTTTCAGAAAGCACTCATATGTTAGGTCTCTATAGCATTCTTGACAGTTATTTTCCCTCAGGTAACACTCGGATGCAAATCTGGCATAGCCTCTGACAGCAGAGAGATAGGAGTGTGAGTAGAAACAGAAAGATGAATGGAAGTTTCATTTCCTTCTAAGAACAAAGGTGGTATCGGTAATAATGTGTGTGGTAAGTTCTTTGAAAATAAGATGCTTGACAATTAAAGTTCTCTCAGTTGGTTTTAAAGATCCCTGGTACTGTCATTTCAGCTGCTAACTGAAAAGTCTATGGTTTGAATCTATCAACCTTTCCTTAGGAGAAAGATGAGGCAGTCTGGTTTCATAAAGATTTACAGCTGTGGAAACCGTATAGAGTTGATCTGCTCAGTCCTATATGGTCGTTTTGTATCTGAATCAACTCACCAGCAAGGAGCTTGGAATTTTGGGGGTTTGGGCTGGGCCTTATAATAGACATATACACTAGATAGTATTCTTGTCCTCATTTTACAAATCTTAAGTGTGAGTCTGTACATGCAAGAATTGATTCACATAATTCTCATCAGAGACTCTCAGAGCCTTGGAAGAGGGGGATTCTGCACTAAATTCACTTTATTAAAAGACCTCATAGAAATGGTATATGCATTCATGAAATGTGTGCACAACCTACTGAAAACATCATCCATCTTTATAAATTGAAAGATTATATTACTTTTTCTGCTGGCTGAATTGCTAAATAAGTTAAAGGAAAATGAATTAATAAAGAAATGATTGGTAGATAACAGTTTTCAAAACCAAAGGGGAAACCTTCTTAGAGATAACTTTAGTAAAAAAAAAAATTCTTACAAAAAATTCTTACAATACCTTCTTACTCTAAAATCCAAATATCTTCCCTCTTCTTTTCTCAGCAACTGTCCCCAAGGTTACACATAGGAGCAGAATGTAAATGAGATTAATCAGAAGTCTGACCAATGTGGAATGAGTAGCATATTCCTGTGTCTCCACAAACACAATTCCAGCTTGTATTGCAGTGCTCTTTGTCTGTTCATCACATCTAGTTCACATCCACACAACAAACAAAGAACTAAAAGTAAATAAATAAAAAGACATTTACTGCCATTGTGTGCATTCTGACCCATGGCAATCCCGCTGAGCAGAGAAGAACACAACTACAAAGGGTCTTAAGTGTAATCTTTATGGAAACTACCTTTCTTCCATGGAAGTACTGTGTGAGTATAATCACAATCCTTAAATCATTAGTAGAATGCAAATCATTCCCACCACAGAGACTACCAAGGAACTAAACACCTAATATGCAATGTTCATGATTATAATTCAAGTGGATAGAAAGTAATCTGTACCCAAATAGCTAATCATTGAGTACCATGAATCCTATTATTTCTGACCATTAGGATAAGACAGAAAAATGCTATTGGGCAAATGAACATGGGCACCATCACTAGTACAAGAAACAAAACAAGCTAACTTGTTCTATCTGCCAGTGATAGTCATCTGATGGAAAGCACAAACAAGAGTGCTGCTTTAGCATGCTAGAATTATATAACATTGACTTAGGCCAACTCTCATCTTGTTTAATCAGTTCTTTTAATATGAATTCACCCAATAAATTTATGTTCAATAACTTAGTCACAAAAGGACAAGTACTGCATAACACAGGTGTTATAAAATAGGACTGACATGAGGGCTTGAGAATAGAAAAATAATAGATAGATAATTAATTCTGCAGTAGAACAGATGAAAGGAAGAACTCTCTTAAAAGAATGTATAATTAGACATCATATGTATGACAACAGTCTGGAACAAGGGGTGTTTTCCAAAGTGGACCAGGGGAGGGGAAAGGAAGGAAGATGGAGGTAAATTTGTAACAATGAATGAATGAAAACCCAACCTTTCAATAAACCTCTGTTAAAATCACAACTTAAAAATTTACAACAACAAAAATTAATGATTAGATAAAAACAATATTTATCCTCTTCCCCCACTCCACCTGGTAATACCCACCCACCCCAAAGACTCAAGCTCAAATGCCAGCTCTTCCTTCTCTCCTGGCTCCTCCAGTCTTTCGTTTCTATGATACTTAGTGCAGAAGAATAATAAACACTTTCTCTGTGGTCTTATATGTATTTATTGTACAATGTTAACAAAATACTATGATTTTTAAAAAGTAGAATCTATGTCCTATTAATCTCTTGCCTTTGCACCTGCTACATAACAATACACTTCCTATCTATCATCTCATTCAATCACTGCAATGGCCCAGTCAGGAAAGTATTGACTAAGAAAGATTAGGTGAGGAAACTAAGGCCCAAGGTGATTACTACTGTATCCAAGGTCATAAAGCTTCTACATAACAGAAGTATCAGACCAAGCTCTTGGAGATTTCCAAGTTTTCTGGATGTCTTTTACCTCTTATAAGCACTAAATGAATGCTTCACTAAGGCTGTAAAGAAAGCATCACAAGTGGTTCTGCTTTTTCTATATAAACAGCTTCTTCTGTGATACTAAGAAATGTTACTGGAGTATTTCACAATCATCAGTCCTGACACCCAGTGCCATTGTAAATGTGCTGTGCTCTGTCTCTCTTCCATTTGAAAAACATACACATTGAGGTTTTGGGAAGTATTATCATGATTACACAGCCATTCGAAGTAAGACACCATGTAGAGTGGGGTCTACATGGCAGGAGATTTGAAAGCAGTATCATAAGAACAGAATGGCAACATATGAATTCAATACCCAAAGCTTGCTTAGAACTCAAGGGCTAGAGATTTCTGTGGTATCCCACAGTGTTTATCATGAAGGGCCTCTGCAGCTGAAAGATATGAATATTCCTATCATTAGAAAAAATAACCCCTGCTGGGTGCATGGTATATTTATTTCCTCAGTCTTTGTTGCAGCCTGGCTGAAATCAAACCCTTTGATCTGACTCCATCCCCTCAGAACAACTTTCTAATTTTCAATTGTCTTCTTTAGTAAAAGATTCCTTCGACAGGAGGTACTGATCAAAAAGCATGAGAATATTTTCCTTTGTAGGATATGTACACGCATCATTATAAATTAACAAATTGGTGTTCTGCTTTACACACTAAAGGAAAGAGAAGTGCGTAAAAAACAAAATGTCTAATATTTGATGCGTTGGTCCCACAAACCCTGTATTCCCTGTTCCCACAAACCTTGTCTTCCCTGTGTTTTATGTTCTGAGCATCACTGTTCTCCCTTCTCCCACCCTTCTGTCTGCCCCATCTCTACACTGTCTCTCTCCATGTGGTCCTGGGGAAATAGCATGAAAAATATCAGCCAAGGCTAGGTCAGCAATTTTGAGTGGGGGGTATGGGGAGGGAAGATTTACAGGTAAAATAGTCATTGTAGTACTTAATGAGAATTCTTTCTACTCAATTTATTTATTATCTAAGCATTGTAACAATTCCTAGACTTGTAAAGGTCTTAACAGCACAGCAGAATGACCCATCTAAAAATATCACACAGATAAAGATATCTTTACTCACATTTTCCGAGCGGAGCCTCTTGGCCGGACACCCACCATCCCGGGGATGAAGCATGTAATACAGTCGAACTTTGCTGGCATGTTTCCGACTCTGTTAAGAAAAAGCAGACACAATAAAAAAAGAGGACTTTTAAATCTTTGACAATCAGTGATGACAGTTCCAGCATATTTTGATTTGACAATGCTTAGTTTTCAATGTTTTCCTTTTAATATTGTATTAGATTGCATACATTAATTCATATGCATTGTGGTTCATTCATGTACATTGTGTTTCATCCAATCTTTCATTCACATTGTGTTTCATACAATCATTCATACACATTGAATTTG